TTCCTGCTGTGATGTGCTACTTGCTTTTGTACAAGCCACTGTGCCCTTTGTCCTTTTTGTCTGTAGACACAAGTTTGTCTGCAGTCTAAATCTTTAATCATGTTTGTACACAGCAGCACAATGAGAAGCTTTTTATGGCTGATACTTCTAAACACAGCAATAAACAAACAAGCATAATGTGTTTGTGAAGATCAGATCTTTTGAACTTCTGAAATCTGTTGACTATCTTAGTCAGCACAGATATTTTTAGCTGAAGATAATATATTTAGGCATGATCAAGAAACATAAGATTCAGCTACACGGCTGTCATTTTCTGGAGAGCAAGGATAGCTGGATATTTGAAGACACTCTCACAAAGAATGTAAAGGTCTCTGACCTGGGAACCATTCAGTCCTACAATAACGGGGTTACAGTCACAAGTGTCCTGGATGGGAATTCTGACTGTACCTACCCCAAAACCTTCTGAACTGATATAGGAGTTTGAAAACTGGCAAGTAGACTGGCAGATAAAATCTGTTTAAAATAAATGTGAAAAAAACCCACAATAGAACTATAGCTTCTAGTTTTATATCACAAATTTACCTGGTAATTAAGGATGGGCTTTACTGTTCTCTCCCTCCATGCTGCCACTTCCCTCATTACTGCCACTTATACAGTGCATTATCTGGGGTGTTCAGGTATTTGGCATCTCAATTGGAGACACAGAACCAAAAAAGCTAATGTGCATTTGTAGTAAAGCTACAAAAGTGCAGTACATTTTCAGCACTCTGGACATGTTTCTGCATGCACAGAAAAAATGTCTGGTGACTTGAATTTATTGGACTTGCTCAGGATTCATTGGATGTTTGCCATGGATCCGACTTATTGTGCATGTTCTGGCCAGTGATGAAGTGTTTCTGCAGAAACCTGGGGCTTGTTCAACGTGTTGGCTTTACTGCACATGCACTGCAAAGTCTGTGTACCTATATTTCTTTCTGGGATTTCCTGGGCAGAAGTGTGGGAGCATCTTCGTATATTATGGGATGCAGATGAAATCTCATGGTCACACAGCTACATGTTTAAAGTGAGGCTTCATCTACTTGCTTCCTGCATACTCTCAATGGCTGAAGTCTACATAATTCATCAAGTACTTTCTGTGCGTGCCATTCATTTCTGAAGTCCAAGAGACATTTGCACTAGAATGAAAGGAATTTTTGAAAAAAATGAAAAGAAAGAAAGATGAGGAGGAAAAAGAGTAAATGAAGAGAAGAAAATGTAGAGATTTATTTACGTGGAGTGCAAACTCTGTGGTTAGAGCATGTAAAACAAAGGGCTCTGATCTTGCTCAGTTCTTTGGTGCTGTGATTGTAAATACAGTTAGTAAAAATATTAAGAGGTGATACAAACAAGGCTGCAAGACACACTGGTTTTAATGTTTATGCTTGGGTAATGTGTGTCATCGCTGTCAACAAAAAGTTGATGTGAACAGGTAAAGAATGGTTTCACTTAAAGCCCAGCAACATTGCAACACAATGTGGAAGGCTGTGTGAAATTGCCTCACCCCCTGACGTGCCTCCCTCCCTCTCACAGAACGCTTTGCTTCCCGCGGGCTTTCGGCAGAAGGACCAGACCACCAAAGCTGCCACGGGCCCCTTTGACAGAGAACGCCTGCTCTCGTACTTGGAGAAGCAGGCACTTGAGCATAAAGACAGAGAAGACTTTGTACCGTTTACAGGGGAAAAGAAAGGTACGGCCTGTCTGTGTCGGTGTTGAGTACTGGGCTGCGTGGGCACCGGCATCCACCGCTGCCTGCCCCTTTGCTGGAACACGCTGGGACTGGGGAGGTGGAGGCTGTCACTGTGCATGGTGAAGCCCAGGAGTGGGATCCAGAGCGGTCGTAGCAGGATATGAAGTGGTGGGCTGGGTGATGATCTTCCTTGCTACTCTGGAGTTAAAAGAGAAGGTTTAATCAGGCCTGTGGGTGGGTGTGGGAACACACAAACCCCAGTCCAGCAAAGGGCTCAATCAGCAGCTCCCAGATCCACAAACACCTCTGTTTGCCATTGAGGATGGACAAAGGCGGCCTTGCTGACCTTACTGGAACTATTTCCATGTTAAGCTTTAGGCCCATGTAAGGGTACTGTAGTGGGGGATGTGTTTAGGAGGAAACTTATAAATGCCTTTCTAAGTAAGTATTGCCTACGATTGCTGTCAGTAATAGCCTAGGGAATACACTTTAAAAAAAGAAGTATTTTTCCATTTGTTTACTAGCACATCTGGCAATGCTATTCATGCACACAGTTTTGCTGTTTCCCCTTGTCCTACAGCTACAGGAAAAAAAAAGGGAAAAACAGGAAACCTGATTATAATAATTTAAACATTAGTGGGATAACCTTAGGGCAGGAACAGTCATTTTTAAGCAGTGTTCCTTTAACTCCATTACCTCCCATTCCTCATTTATCTACAGTGGATAAAAATGCCTACCTCAGGCCACACCTTCATTCAAGAAGGAACTTTTCATGTCTGGGTCCATTTTTGACCATCTGATGAATTTGCACTTATTTCGATGGGTCCAGCTTAAGGGAAAGCAGGTATTTCAAGAAAGTAAAATGCAACATTTTTTTACTTTATGTATTATTATCAAAGATATAAAATGGTATTTGCTGGCCAAGAGTTGTTCCTGTCATTGCATTGTATTCTCATTCTCATTACATTGCATCCTCGTTCTTTAAAACAATGGTTTTAGACACAGGAGCCAGTTGTCAGCTCAATTTGATTCACGTGTTATTTTATCATGCTGCATATTCTTTAACCTACTTTTTTCCTCTGTCATAACTCACACTCACTGCTATTCACAGGGCTGATGCTGAGCCCACTGAAACACAGTGACACTGCAGTGATCCTGCTGGTAGCAGGAGTGATCAAGCACCTACTGTACAGAAAATAAAAGCTTATTGTATTATGGTTTTACTATATTTTTTTTTCCCTTTTCCAGTGGCTTACACACTGCTCTGGTAGCAATACAAGTTACCACTTACAGGTCTCTGCATGTTTAAACTGGTACCTTCAGTCAGGTCTCACCTTACTGATATTTACTGACTTTGGTCTAAGACCAAATTTGTCATTCTTCTCCTCATTCTCTTTATGAGAGTTCTATGGGGAAACATGTCAAATGCTTTTTGGAGGTCCAAATAGACAATACCCACAGTCTTTCCCTTGTCCAATAGTCAGGTCATCAGGTTATAAAAGGAGATCAGGTTTGTCAGGCAGGACCTGCCTTTCATAAACCCATGCTGACTGGGCCTGATCCCCTAGTTATCCTCTATATGTCTTCTAATAAAACTCAAGATGATCTGCTCCATGGCCTTCCCTGGTACCGAGGTCTGTTTATTTTGAGCTTGATCATGTATTGGTATTGAGCCTCTCTTGTGCTGCCCCCACTTGCTTGGCAGGAGGTGTCCTCCAGAAAGACCACCAGACTTAAAGCACTGGGCTTCTTTATCTCCTATTCTAGTTCTCCTTCCCCCATGCTCCATACTACAAAGACTTAATGCAGAATCTGAGCCTTATAAAACATAATTGACATCTCCATCTGCCAAATGTACTGAAATCTTCCTATGAATAGTATGATAATTCTGCTAATTGGGTGAAGCTGGTGAAAGATGGTAAATGTCACATAAAGGCCACATGTGGCTGGCTCTGCATCTTAGAGTCCATGCTTTTAACTGCTGCACTACTTATTTTGACAAATTTGATTGAAGAGAATAGCAGAATGACTGTATTAAAATACTAATTAATTGTTTGTCCTTTTTAGTAAGATATTTTCTGTGCAAGGAAATAAAGAAATCTTGTAAAGACATTTCTAAGATATAGTACTACTTGCTAGATTTAAAGTCACTTCAATTAGAGACTAATTAGTATTCTTCCAAAGCTTAGTAATTAGTTCAGGATAAATAATTTACATTTCTAAAATGTGTTCTCAAAAGAAGCTAAAGAAGAGTATCTCTTGAGGAAAAGCTTGTTCTTCACCTTTTGCATGTTTTGATCTCTAAGGTATGTTTACAGATGAGTAAATATTAATATGATTATATTATATAGATGCCTCTTAATAGATTTCTTTATATTATAGCACACACATACAACATACCCGTATTGTAAATAGTCCCCAATTATTTTTAGTTAAAAGTTAAATCTGGGGCAGCCTCAAAATGCCTCCAGTCATGTATAATTAGAAATGGGAGGTGTTGATGTCAATGTACCATTTGGCACTATTTACCACCTGAGAATATTTGTGTATCAGTAGGATTAGAATATGTCAAGTGTTGTTTAAGCTTGTGTTGCTGTTTTGTACTTTGATAAGTTTCTGCCACTGCGAAAGCATTTATTTTTTCACATTTAGGAAGTGGGATGCTTCTACCAAATGTTAAGTGGCATTTCTCCAAGTTCCTGTGTTTATCATGCAAAGCTGATGCTGACTTGAAAATTCAGTGGTGAACCAAAAAGAAACTGGCGTTTAAAATATCCTCCTTCCAGAACAGCGTGATGCATCATTATTGTTTATCTGGTGTCTCTGCCTCTCATTTTATTGAGTTAAAGTTTTATTGGAGAGTTCTTGAACAAAAAGCAATACCAAAATGCTGCTGAAGGACAAAGTTCAGTTGCCTATGACGGTCTCTGTGTGCTGAACAAAACCCTCAGGTTTTGATTGTGCTAGAAAACAAGCCAAAGCAAATTCCACAGCTGACAGGGATATTCAGAATGGTTAAAACACAGGAAGCGTTAAATCTGAGCTGAAGGTGGGAGGTTGGTTGAAATGGCCTTGGTTTTGACTGTAATTGTGGTTTTGAGAGGTTGGAAATGTTTGGCAAAACCAATCAACTGTGTGTCATGCATTAGGGTTTTGGCTGTCTGCCATGTTCCAGGTTGTTAACGTCCTGCATGAATTGCTGATTAAAAAAAAAGTTTTAAGGCTGATGGGACAGCTCTCAAATTTCATTGAAAACCCAAGTTTTGTGCTGAACTAGAGCCAGAGCAGTTGCAGCCTGACAAACACTCCCCCAAACCTGCCACCAAGCAGTGTTTTCTGACTGCTTTACCTCTTATCCTCCCTAACACAAGTCAGGGGTGTTAGGGTACTTCATTTGAATGTCCCCATGGTGAGTGTTTGCTCCCTTTGGGGTATTCAAACCATCTAGTGGCTTTCAGGAGCTGTTGTGCAACACAGCTGTTCATCAGCCATTCCCACAAACCAAGGGTTTGTTATTAATGAGCAATGGATGTATAGGGAGTAGGGCCAGTAGTTGTAGCCATAGCAATTGGCAGTTTTTAAGTGTTTATTGTATGTATTTTTGGATTAATTCCTCCTTAGGATAGATATTCTAGAAATGCTGACATAGAACCTGACGAGCAGCAGGAGGCACTCAGACTGACCCACTGCATTTAACACATGCAGCTGGAACAGCTGTTTATAACACTTCAAGCTGTGAAGCCTTTTCCTGTGTCATTTTCAAGTGCATGAAAGGTCCAGGGATAAAAGAAAAGGTGGATAAAGTCAGGGGTGGCACAGGCACAAAATAATAAAGAGCAATGTCAGTGCTGCATGTTTTCCCTCACTAAACATGGTATGTACATCTGATCTCAGTTAAGAGCTGTGTGTTTTACTGTAATACAAACTATTAACAACATTTCTGCTTTGCTGCAGTGGTTCTTGTAACTACATGATACTAATGAAACATAAATGGAAAAGGTTCTGTTGTTGAGAAATATCATTAGATGCTAAATGTTGGCTATGCCATTTTTAATTGCTGCTATCCCTGTTTTCTACAAGGTCTCCTAACTCCTTGCCAAACCATTTCATTTTGGATCTGATCCACTTCTCAAAGTCATGGAAAAACTCCAGTGGATTGAGCTATTAGTATTTCTGGCTGGAAAGGGAAGGGAACACACTTGTATGTGATTAAATGCTAACATTTTTAGCCAACTGATAAAAGGGAAAAGGAAGAAAATAGGATGATTAAGCCAGAGAACTTTTGGCCAAACCCCTGTTTTCAGTTGCTCTGGCAGAGAGCATCTATCTTGCATGTTGTGCTGTCCCAAGCAAGAGTATCAATGTGCAGCACTAGTGATAATGAGAGTCATTTTCAGAAGGTCAAAGTATTAGAGAAGATGCTAATGTGTTTCAATTTGTTTCTGTAAGACTTCACATAAAAATGTTAGTGTTTAGAAACGTGATATCTCTCTTGGATTGACAGAGGCAGCCTTTTCACCCCCAATGCTGAGATAGTTTAATTTTTTGCCACCTTCTTCCTGTTCTTCAAGGCTTAAGTTTAGAACTGATGTTTGTCTCTTGAAGCACTGAAAGTGCTGCAGTTGCTACAGTAATGCCTTTAGCCAGTGCCTTTCACTGCTTGCTTTTGTAAGGCCCTGTTTTAGTTGCTCATGACTTTGCCAAACTCACACAGTTCACACTGAAATTTCCCATGCTGAGAGTCTGCCTTGAGCTGAATTTTTGCAAAGTGTCAGCAAAAAGGACTTAGCTGTTTCCAAGAACAAGATTAGGAGAAAATACATTGTTTTAGCCATCTAAAGTAAATTTTTCCAGCTGTTTTTTTTTATGAGCTGCAGTGCCTCCATGCTTTGAAGACAGGTCTTGAAATGCATGCCCTTTACAATCCCCAGGGAAATACACTTGAATTTGGCAGCTTCAAAATACTGTACTTTCTTGTACATCCAGTTATAATGTTTTCC